TCATATTACTGTCCTATAGTGAAGTACATCAAGAGTCGCCATTGGATATACACTGTAAAGTAAGGGATTGCCTAGTTCAGTTTTCTTTCGTTTTTCTCTTGTGACTTGAAAACTCCTCAAATTTTCATCTGGCTTAATGAAAAAAAGCATATTGTTTTTTTTGTACGAAGGAGAGGTACGTATACACCGTTTCTCCCTTTTGTTTGTACTTTGGATTTAGAATGTAAAAAAATGTTACTCGTTATGGTATCGCCTATTGGCTTCATGTTTCGAGTGAATGAAATGAATCTTTTCAGTTAATCATTTGATTACACTAGCTGATGAATGAATGTATGCATACAGATGGGGGCATTGGTGAAAAAATTCATCAACATTTCATTTCATTCACTTTTCTGTTTAACATGATTCATGATTGGGTTAATTACAGAACAAATCATGGAGATCAAGGGCAAATTTGGACGTGTGTTGATCTGACGGTTTACATCCTTAGTAATGCAATTCTACAAACAAGTCATTTAAATTAAAACCTGCAAGTTCCATTTGTTTGGGATGCACTAAAAAATTATGCACATCTTGTTTAGGTTTACTAATCATGTAACAGATACACAAATACAATATGCATAACTTACAAAGAAATTTAAATACAAAAGAAAAAAAAAATCTAAATACAATTTTGAATCCCATAACCTAAAACCAGCACCCTCCAAATTATACAAAGATCACAAACATGCATAGACTCACTCACAGTCACAGAAGGCCATTCACAGGTGAAGCAGTAAACACCGGCTTATTATTATTACCACAATCTTCATTACCCGAGCCACTTTTTCTCCTTGGCTTTGCCTCTCCAAGCATCGACAATACGTCTCTCATGGATGGCCTGTCCTTAGGGTTCTTAGCCGTACAAAGTACGGCAAACCTCAAAACTAACATCATTTCCTCCTGAACATGCCTTGTATTCCCCACACTAGGATCAAGAGCCTCTTCAAGAGGCCGATTGTTTCTCATTTTGCCACGTATCCACTCGACTATGTCGATCGATTCACCAAATTCGGGGTCCAACGGCTTCTTTCCTGTTAGGAGCTCCATTAAAACAACCCCATAACTGTATATGTCGCTTTTCTCATCGACTTTGAGCGTATACCCATATTCTGTCAAATACAAAATCACCAAATTAAGTCATCTGAATTCATATACCATACAAGCCATATTTGGTAAATCTAGCTGATAACTTATAAGTGAAGTGAATTTTGATCTTGCAGCTGATGGCTGAAAAGCTATCTAATATGATAAAAGTGTGGTAAAATTAGCAGTGAATTTCGAGCTTATAACTGATGGTTGAAAAACTAGCTGATATGATAAAAGTGTTCGGTAATAAGCCAATTGAATTAAAAATTTCAACGAACTTATTTGAAAAACTATATCGAACTCACCAGGTGCAATGTACCCATAAGACCCAGCAACCATCGAAACTGTCTCGTCCTTTCTGATCATCATCTTAGCCAGCCCGAAATCCGCGATCCGAGCCTCGAGATTTGCATCGAGCAGTATATTGTTCGACTTCACATCCCTATGAATCACAGGCGGATGGCAATCATGGTGCAGGTAAGCCAGGCCCTGAGCCACACCCACCGCTATATTATACCTCGACACCCAATCCACGAGCAAATTACGAGCCTTCTTCTCGTGCAAGGCTTCCCCAAGGCTCCCGTTCTGCATGAACTCGTAGACAATCATTGCATTCGTGTCGTTGTGCATAAATCCCAACAGACGAACGATATTCCTGTGCCTCAATCTCCCGAGCAAATTAACTTCCCCGACGAGATAATCGCTTCCACCTATATCTGGGTCGCTTATGGATCGCCACAGCTTTTTAACGGCCACGATCGTGTTTAGTCTTGATATCTCGGCTTTGTAAACTGTGCCTGTGGCTCCCATTCCTATCACGTTCGACTCCTTCACGCACGAGAGAATGTCGCTGCTCGTAAAATCGAGACGCTGGAAGGCCATCAGCCTCCATGGCCATTCGCCTTTTCCCATCTCGAGTTTTTCTTCGAAGCAATTCCCGTCCCGCCATTTTCTGTAGAAAAATCGGGCCCCGAGAGTGGATACCACAAGAAGAAACAGGGATAAAAATCCGATTACTAACCCCCGGAAGGCGGCAGCAGCATTCGCTCCGTGTGGGCTCCGGCGGGTAGATGAGCCGCCGGAGATTCTCGAGCAGGGAGGGAGGAGGAGGCCGCCGCCGCCGCAGAGGCCAGGGTTTCCGGCGAGGTCGTTTGGGTTGATTGTTCGGAGGACGCCATTGGATGGGACGGGGCCGGAAAGCTCGTTGTGAGAGACGTTGAGCATCTCGAGGGCCGGCGAGTTCCCGAAATTCTCCGGGATACCGCCGGTTAGTGAGTTGTTCGACAGGTCCAGGACGGCTAAGGCGGGCATCTCCGCTATTGGGCTTGGTATCGGCCCGGTTAGCCCGTTGCTGTGGAGATTCAGGGTCACGAGCTTCTCACACGAGGCGATGCTCGACGGGATTTTTCCGGTGAACCGGTTTGAGGACAGATCTAGGATTGTTAGTCCCGGGCAATCCTGAAATTGGTCCGGGATTTCCCCAAACAGGTCGTTATCCGAGGCTATGAAGGTCTGCAGGCCCGGAATCGAGAGGATGGACGACGGCAGGGACGATCGGAGCTTGTTCTTCGATAAATCTATCGACGATAGCGAAATCGACGACGAGAGGTCAGCCGGGATTTGACCGGCGAGGCTGTTGTTCGCTAGCTCGAGCCGCTGGAGGTTGCCGAGCTTGCCGAAACCCGCCGGAATTGTACCGTTCAAGAGATTGTTCTGCATCCTGACCCGAACCAAAGAATCGCAGGCGGATAAAGCGGGCGGGATTGGGCCCGAAAACCCGTTATTGAAGAGGATGAGTTTGGTGAGGTTACCTCCGGCACAGAGCGAGTCAGGAACCTGACCCGAAAGCGAATTTGACGAGACGTCCAGCCACTGGAGGGGCGAATTCTCGCCCAGATCTGCCGGCAGAGGACCCGAGAGCGAGTTATTCCATAGCTCGAGCACCTCCAGTTTTCTCAACCCGCTGATTCGGTCCGGAACCGGGCCGGACAGCCTGTTGCACATCAGATTAAGCAGCTTCAGGTTCTGCAAATCGGCTATGTCGACCGGAATCTCGCCGGACAACGAATTATCCGACAGGTCAAGGTACTCTAACGAGGAAATATTGCCGAGCTCCGGTGGGATTTCTCCTTCGAATTTATTCTTGTACAGAAAAACCGTATCGAGAAGCCCGAGTTTCCCAAGCTCGGCCGGTATCGGGCCCCTGAGATTGGCTATCGCGAGGTCAAGGTACCTTAGGTTGGTCAAATTCCCGAATTCTCTCGGTATCCCGCCTTCGAACTCGTTATAACCGATCACAATTGTCTCGAGCGACGACAGCTGCCCGATTTCGGGCGGTATTGGGCCCGTTAGATTGTTGCCCGATAGCCCGAGATACTTTAGTTTGCTCAAACTCCCATAACTTTTCGGTATTGTGCCTTCGAAGAAATTCCCCCTCAAATCAAGACTTTCGAGCTGGGTCGAGTTATCGAGAATCTCGGGCAAGTGTCCGGAGAAATTGTTGCCCGAGGCATTTAGCGAGACTAATCCCGGGCCAAATGCCGGGAAATGATCGGTGAAGAAGTTTTGACTGAGGTCGAGGGATTGGAGTGAGGTGAGATTGGATAAGGATTTGGGGAGTGAAGATGAGAAGCCATTGCAGCATAAGTTGAGTGTGGTTAGGCTGTTTAAGGCTTGGATTTGGTCGGGAAATGGGCCGGTGAGGTTCATGTTGGAAAGGTCGAACGTTTGGACCGACCCGTTTGGGCTGCATTGTATGCCGGTCCAGTTGCAGTGGGCTGAGGTGTTGAGGTTTGGGTTTTCTGGCTTTTTCCAGTCTGTTAGACGGTCTAACCGGTCGACAAGGCCCGATTTGATGGATAGGAGGATCGATACCTCGTCGTCGTTCGATTGGATGGCGTCGAGGGAGAAAAGGAAGATCAAAAGGAAGATGGATTTGGTTTTGAACTTCATCATGANGTGAAGCAGCAACAGCAAGAACAGTGATGAAGGGTGGGGTGAGTGTGTGAAAGAGTTATGATGGAAACTAATAAGGGGAAGAAGATTAAATGATTGGATAGGGATTGATTTTATATAATAATACGAAATAATTTCATATGGGGATTAGTTTTTTATTGTAATAAACTAAAGTAGTGTATATGATATGAATAATTTCATATGGGGATTAGTATTTTATTACTATTGTTTTTGTATTATAACTCCGAGTGTATATGATATGAATAAATTTCATATGGGGATTAGTATTTTATTACTATCGTTTTTGTATTTTTGTAATTGTGGGACTCGTGAGATCTTGGGTACTGTAACAGGCTGGTGATGCGCATGAAATAACTGCAACTTTTTTGGATTTTATTGAAATTTTTAATCCGACAGAAACAGAGAATGTGTTGCCATGCATTTTATTGTTTCGTTTATTTAAGTTTTAATTTAATCTTGATTGTTAGTGTTTGTTATCTTGATTGTGGCCAATTTGTTGTTTCTTATACGTATTGTATAAAATTGTCCGTGGTCAATAATCTTACAAAATTTTATTATTTCAGTTTATCACTCTTTTTTGAATAAATTACTTATTCAAGTACAATTCAGTTACACAAAATTGGTTGACTAAAAAAGCATGTGAGGGCAAGTAATTTTTGATAACTCTTCTTTTGGAACTCGAAAAGCATGTGAGGGCAAGTAATTTTTGATGGTTCAAGTGAAAAATGAACCTAAAAAAGGCAATTAAGCATGTGCATGATGTATAATTAGTTCAAAGTTTATACATTTTTAGTGTTAATAAAGATGCTTTATGTACTGTAGAGAGAGGTGGAAAAGGTCATTAGTGACTCACTGGTTAATATAATGAATTAATTATCAA